TGAGAAATGCCAGCAGCGGGGGAACTGTAGTCAGTGAAAATTGAAAGATCAAGCGCTGAGTCACCAATGGGCGTGGTGTAGTCGTCCATGAAAAACTGCAGAAAATAAAAGAACGGACAGGCTATGGACAATGAACATAAGTGAAATAAAGCCATTGTGTCGCGAAACTGGCAAACGAGAAAGAAACAGGACACTAGTGGCATTAATGAGGACACATGAACTAACACTCAATTTATAAACTAAAATAAAGAATTTTATGAAGCTAATGCTAGAGCAGGAATACAGACTATTTCAAGCATTTGATAACACAAAAACGAAAATGAATAAAAAAATACAGAAACACAGTAAATGGGGCCCGAGTAAAGAGCAAAAAACCAGGAAATGGTACAAAATAGCATCACTGGTGCATAAGAAAATGCTACATAAAACAGGCGAAATTCATTAGTTAAGGGAAGCAATTAAAAGTCATGATCTACAAGATTTGGAGGTGACGTGCTGCAAACAAAAAATTTGAGGAACTTGTTTAACAAGAGTGCAGACCTCATTTGAGGGCGAGCAAGAGGACAAAAAGGAACACAGGAGAAAATAGAATAGAAATAGTTGTCTCTGAACTTCATGATGGTGAAAACAGCATACATTACATACGACTTTCATTTTTAAACGCTAACGGAAATGTCAAGTAAAGGTGCGCAAAGAAGTCAAAAGTTGAAAATAATTTATTTTCACACGGCATAATTAAAGTGAAAGGATGGGTAATAGAACTTCTAAGGGGGCAATAAGGGTGTAACAGGGTGACTAATGGCAACAAAAAGCGCTCCAGTTACGAATGTTGAGATTTTCCTGTCGCTGTATTTAGCAACAAGGGACCACTCTAAAATAAGACGAATAAAATTGGTATCAATACTGATGGTCTAGCATTGGATTTTTTTAAAAATTCGGCCAGGTTAGATGGTACCTGATAATACAAAGTAGGGGTTAACTACAAAATTATAAGAAAAAAAAGAGAATCACTAAGAGAAATGGGTCACAAATGTCTTAATAATAAATCATACCTTAACTCATTCACGGCGACAAAAACGCAGCTCATAAATACAAACGCAACTGAGGAAACCAATAATATTGAAAACCACAACACCCGCATTAACACGCGGGTCACCGTGTAGCGTTGTGGTGTGGTGTGGCGTCGGATTAGGGCGCAGACATATTGGACCACCTGGCCTCAGCCAATCCCGTGTCACTCTGAGATCCAATGGCATGCGGGGAAGGAAGGCAGCCAACCAGAGAAGGACATGGA